CAGACCCTGGGGTTGGAGAGCGCCCAGCGGAATAGTTTTTAATCAACCAGCAACATAGAACTTGGCCAGCTCTCTCTCGGGGCATGCTCTCCACCAGCTGCTCACAGCTCCTCCTGAAAAGGCTTCCACTGGGCGGAAATGGCAACAGGGTCAGGGTCATCAAAGGAGGGGGCCTGTTCCCGGCTGTCCTTATCTAGCCTGGCCTGGGAAAGCCCTGGAGGACGGGCCCTAGGAACTCACATCTCTGACTCTGGGCCCGCTGGGGCTGGAGAGAAACCCGGCCACACCATCAGTTAGTTCATCTCCGTTCGTTTCTTAAGTAGCCAAAAAAGGAAATAAAATTCACATGCACCTAATTCTAGGAGAACACACAGAAAACTTTGGGCACTACAGATGCTACTCTTTGTTAGTGGTGTATCTTTAAGGAGTGCTTTCTGAAAGCTACCTCTGCAAGCAGAAAGAAGTGGGGGGTGGGGGGTGGCCTCGTGACCCAACTGAGGAATAAATGCGAACGGTGAAAGATACTTCAGGGCGGCGTCTTTCCCAAGCAGCCTGCTCCTTCACCAGGAGCCAGAGCAGAGCTACTGCACAGACTCTCCTGACCAGCATCCCCAACGATCCGTTTGGCCACCTGTCCTCTTTACTGGTGGCCGCATTTACACAGGATCCATGTGGCACTGTGTGCCCCGCAAATGGTCACATTCAATTTTCCACACCTGACCCCTCTCTGCCTTCAGCAGCCTTGCTGGCTTTCTCTCTGCGGAGGCCTGGGCACAAACCAAACCAAACCAAACCAAACCAAACCAGACCAGACCAGACCAGACACTGCCATCAAGCCGATGCCGACGAATAACGGCCCTCAAAGCCACGGTAGGACTGCCCCTGCGCTTGTGAGACCGTACCTCTTGTGGAGATGAGAAAGGTGGTCTCATTTACCCTCAGCTCTCTCACGCCCACACACACCCAAGCGACAGTCCTGCAGGCCAGTGAGAGAAACAAACCCAGACTTGGCCATCGAGTCCACGCTGACCCACAGGCACCATCTGGGGCAGGAAGAACTGCCCTGTGCATTTCAGAGACCCTAACTCTTGACGGGAGTAGACAGTCTCCTTTCTCTCATGGAGCGGCTGGTGGTTTCAAACTGTTGACTTTGTGGATCTCAGCCCATCGCCTAACCACTGCGCCAACCACGGCTCAGTTCAGAGTGAACTTCTTCCAGAAAGAACTCTTCTCTCTCCAATACACACCCATCACGCCGTAATGCTCTTTCTCACACGCTTCCTCCTCAAGGCAATTCTGATATCACTGCGCTTCTCTCTCAGCCCTTGCAACACCTCATGGGCAAGGCCACTGAATCACCGCGTCCCTCTGCCTTGAGTCCCTCCCAGAGTCTGCCCAATGCACACTTCTGAGGACGGACTTTTAGGGGACAAAACTCACTGCCATTGAATCATTGCTGACTCACAGTGATTCCCTGTGGGTTTCCAAGACTGTAACTGTGGACGTGAGTAGAAAGCCCGTCTCTCTCCCAAGGAGCTGCTGGTGGTTTTGAACTGTGGACCAGGCAGATCGCAGCTCAATGCATAATCACTACACTACCAGGGCTCCTTTAGAGACAAAGGAGAGGTCTAACTGATTTCTTGAGAATAAACATTGCATGCTAATAGAATGTAAGAAATGAAAAAATTCTTGATTATCTAGCCCAGATCACTTAAAAAAAAAAAAAAAGAGGGTTGCCTTTGTGTACTTTGTGGTGTCAGTTTACCCTGACGTCCGCCTTGGAGTGTGAGCCCAAACCTTTGGGCGCAGTGACTCATTTCCCACCCCCCACCCCCCGCCAGTGTTTGCTTAAGAAGTTTACACAAACCTTTGCCTGCTTGCTCTATGACAGACATACAACTATCTTTGCAGAAATTATCTGCCAGAGCTATAGATGATCGGGAGTGTTCAACCCACTCATTTTCATGACTTACGGCTCACAGGTGAAAAAGTGGTGGAAAGCCTGGGTCCTTTCCCAGCTACCGGCCCACAGACCCGCCCACAGACCCACCCACAGCATCCTGCTGCTGCCCATCCGGATGCCAGGCCACACAGGCCCGCCTATCTGCTTCTTTGTTGCTCTCACTCTTTTTTACAGTCACTGTTTACTCCTGGGCAAACCACATGCCAAGGCAGCCGCCGGTGACTCATGTGCTGAGAGCGACCAGGGCTAGAGCGAGGGAAGGACCAGGGTTTCAAGGGGGGAACAAATACTCACTGTCTCCACTGCTTTCAAGCCGCTTCTCAAAGTACTTATTTCTTTGTCCAGCTCAGTCATGCTGTGGTCAAGAGCAACATTTTAGTGATCAATACG